GTCGAGGGCTGTGTAAGCTAGTGTTTTATAGTGACAATTATATGTTACTAATTGCGGCAGCTATACATGAGGTTGAAAGACGTTGAATGGCCGGTACTTTTTTTGTTTAATATAAGCGGAAAAAGTTACATTTAATCTAACTCTATCCGAAACGGATCTCAACCGTGCACAGCGTACACATTCTGTTCCAATTGAATCGTGTATAATGTTATGCTTTGTGCATTCCTGTGTATATTTGTGTTAAGATGTGTTAAGCAATTGGAAAGCATCCTTATCCATATACGTTCCTCTTTGGGCGATACAGAATCAGCGATAGTAGAGTGGGTATAAAGAGAGTGACACCAATTAGCCGGAAGTCGCCATTTGGTGTCCTACATCTGGGATATCTATATGACGCAATTCCTCATCTTAACCTGTTCTTTTTTTTAACGTTATCTTCTCTCTAACTAACAGTAAGAGCACTTAATGGCAGAGCCAATCAGCATTAGGCATGCGATCTAGCGCCACTAGTTAGCGGTCTGGCATAACCGGTAGCCATATACACAAGCATGACCCCATATCCATACACTCGTCTTCGATGCGCAATAGTATATTTCACCAAAATAGCTTGTATACACAAATTAGCAATCGCGGAGCGAAGACAATAAGAATAGGCTTTTTCTCTTGATACAAGACATCAAGAATAGGCTCTTTCTCTTTTTTCCGGCCATCGTTTCTTTACTGGTTTATTAAAGCAGATTAAATTTTTGCCCCATGGGGGAATAAGAATAAAATGCTAAAATTATAGAGTATCTACTCTACAGCACGAATCTACCAATCATCACGTACGTGCGCGAACGCAGTTGCGCACGCTAACCTGTCAAAGTACACTATAGTGTACATAATCCTAGCACAAGTTATATGTATGTACATGTGTATCACAAAAGAATACATTACACAGATAGTTATACATAACTTGCATGGAATTACATTGCATACACTAAGCCTGTTTTTTTTTGGCTAAATTTTTGCACCAGTTCAGCCAAAAAGAATAGGCCTACTGTGAAAACCTAGTACAATTAGGTGCAGATGCGCACGCAACACATGTCCAGCCTATCATGACATGGAAGAGACACAACGTTAGTGTTTGTAAAAGTACGTGTGAAGAATGCAAAGATTACAGAAGTCAAATTTAGAGAGACTCTACTATACATGTAATAAGGTATTCGGAAAGTTTCGGACCCCTTAAATATCTTGAAAAATAAGCATTTCTGAGAAAAATGTTTCATACAAAAGTTGTACAGTTTAAAATAGTCTATTTACTGATCTTACAGTTTAACCTTAGGTGGCGCCACCAAGCATTTCTGAGAAAAATCTTTCATACGAAAGTTGTATAGTTAAAATGATCTATTTACTGATCATATCAGTTTGACCTTAAGTGGCATTACTAAGGTCAGGTCAAGGTTAAATCGATTTTTTAAACATCCTATTTTTTATTTCAGAATTTAATAGATGGTGTCAAGAGCTTTTCAAAATATTAGGTGTAGTAAAAAGTCATCGCGTTTTTTTAAAAGACATCTATCAGTAAAAACCGCAATTACTTTCTTACCAACAATATAAATATATCTTGATAGAGTAAAGTTTTAGCTTTAAAAATCTCTTTTTTAAATTATACGATACGACAATT